ACAGGCCCTCAGGTGAAATGATTACATTTAGGTTTCCCTCTCCCTGCTCAAGGGCAGAACAGCATGGAAGACCTTGGACTCCTGGCTCTCCCCTGCCCTTGAATGGTGTGTGCAGCTCCCATGATTAACAGCAGCCTTACACCTCAAGTGTCAAGCCACACGTTTGCATGAAAAAGAAACCAAAGAAACGAAAAAAAACCTTTTAAAAAGACATTTTCATAAAAGCCAATGTAAAACAGCTATGATATCTTGGGATGGACATGCATAGCTCCACAGATAAGGGTCCCCTGCTTCAGAGGAAAACCAGCCACATTAACATCCCAGGCAGCTTCACCTCATCACTGATCACATTCAGTATATGCATATGGAAGAACATCTGTTCCCTGGGCTTGTTTTCCCCGCCACCACAAACTACCTTGAAAGCTAATACTCTTGAAGCAGAGAGAGATGGGGCGTTTCTGCATGAATTACAGCAATGCTTCTGACAAAAGTAGACCAGCAGAACATTTAATTTCAATAAGTGATGGGCAAATGCCCAGAGGATTTAGCAATGTTAACGCTAAATCCTGTTGACCTTTTCTTTCCCCACTGGTCTGATATTAGGTAAATAAGATCTAGACCATAGAGGGCAAAGTTTTCAGTCCTATTTCTTGACCGTTTATGAGACGTTACTCCAACCTGCTTGGGGAATGGTCTCGGCGTTCTACATTTGTACAGCACCTAGCACTAGAGTAAGGCAAGGGTCTTGGCCTATAAACAGGGCTTCTAGCTATTACCTATAATGTAGATGTTTGTGAACACGAAGGTACATAAGGTAAATACATAACACTTGTAGTTTGTCAGTCTTGCTAAGGGGTTTTATCCATGGAGACAACGCAGAAAATTTCTTTAAATGAAAACATTTTTTTTTTTTTTTAAATTAAAAGGTGCCCTTCCCTCCATTACTGAGGATGCTGAAGATAACTGGAAGCAAGTTCTGAGCACCGCAGAGCAGCTTTGATGCAATTCCATTCTCTGCTTGTTCTATATTAGCACTACATGTTTTATAGTCATATGTTTTTATTGAATCAATGGGGCAAAAATATTTGCTCAGCGTTCCAGGCCAGGGGTTGGCAACTTGTGGCCCATGGACCCATTGGATCCAGCACACAGACTGACCAGCATTCGGTGGCAAAAGACTGTAGATGCAGGCACTCCTGCTGAGCCATCACAAGGAGAAGCACCAGCTGCAGGGAGGTCCTACCTCCTGCCTGCCTCCAACCTGAGGTGGGTCAGTGCAGCTTGCAACCACAAAAGGTTGCCTATTGCTTTCTAGGCCACTCTCTGGCCATTTCAAACATACAGTACCATAAAATCACCATTCCTCCTCCCCTCCCAAAGACAAATGTCAGAGACGGTGCCAAGTAAGGACCTGGGTTCTAGCCTAAACTCCTATTCCTAATGGAGCAGAGATTTCCCTAATGCTCTTCATCTGTTTTATAGAAAGACTAGTATATGCAATGTGCAGAGGCTGGAGAGGGGATTCACTAATGCCCAACACAGAATGGCAGCTAGCACAACTATGCTGGGAAGCTGGAGAGATGCAAATTCAAACCTCATCTGCACCAGGGGTAACCTAGAACCTGGGACTTCTGCTTCCTGAGCAAGGCCCTAACCAGCGGGTCAAATCGATCCACACTGGTATGGCAGGAGTTCTCCAGGGGAATCCCAAAATGAACAGTCCTGGGCCAGGCATTGTTCAATGCATTTATTAACAATTTGGATGCTAGAATAGAGAATTTCCTAGGCATATTTTTAGGTGACACTAACCTGGGATGGGATGTAAACACATGGGAGGAAACAATAGCAGTCTTATCTGAAGGGCTGCCAAAAGAGGAAGAATACTGTTCTTGTGCTGCAGACAGCAAGAGAGAACCAATGTCTTGAAGTTGTAGGCTGCATGTGACATGCAGGCTATGGCCTCCTGGGGTCCTTCTGCCATGCGAACAGCCCTTCCCTTAGCACCCACCACATGCCTGGCTCCCCCATGCTGCATAGGCAGACCAGCCCCACTCCCAGCTGTGTGCAGCCCAGCTCTTCTCCCAGCCATGTGCGCAGTGTGGACAGTCTGGACCCCTCCTGCTGTGCTGTCCCACCGATGGGAGCAGAAGCCAAAGGAAGGAGGAGCCTGGAGACTCTGGCCACCTCTGCAGCAGCAGCAGAAGCAAGGAGAAGAATGGTGGCTGGATGGCAGCCCTTGGGCTGCAAATTAACCCCTAGCAGCCCACATGCACCCTACAGACTGCCAACTGGATAGCCCTGCTCTAGATGAGGCCTAACCAGTGCCAAGGAGGTGCACTACCATCTCCCAAGCCTCAACTCTTAATGCTCCTGTTGATGCAGTCCAAAGAGCCATGAGCCATGGCAATTAATGCCGTCATTGCTCCCCATTGCCAAACTTCCAGACCCAGGGGGAGCCCCAGGTATGCCAGACTGCACCAGCTTACAGGCGCTGTGTGGCCAGATCTGGTTAGCGGGACCCCACGGGACTCTAGATCACATCCGCAGTCGACTCCATGCACTGATGACCTCTTGCTGGATCCGGCCCATGGATCCACCCCCACAGCACTCATCCAGCCCATGGGGACAGAGAGACTGAGCACCCCTGTTCTAAACATTGTCCCCTGTGCTGACCAGCTGTTTACTCCCAACTTCTCCCAAGGCCTGTTCTCCAGCTTCACTCTCCCTACCCTTCCAGATCTCTGCTACCGTCTCTGCCAAACCGATCCTCCCTCAACCAAACCCCACCCCAAAAATGATAAGCTAGGGGGAAAAATTGGCAGCACTAACTCATCCATTCTAAGTCCTAATAGTGGTCAATCTGTTAGCAAGCTTTATTTCTTTCCCCCAGCATTGTGCTTTTCAGCTTTGGAATAACAGAGTCCATGCCCCAATGCATGGGCAGGATGGACTGCAGGGGGATATCCTCTGGGGTCCTCTAGACAGATCATACACATGACAAACCTTTCATCATGCACAGTAAGATCATACACATGGTAAATTTTGCATTTAACTGCATGCTACAAATATACACACTTGAAAGGTGATTGAGCTAAAAATGTTTTTTTTTCCCCCCAGGGAAAACTTTTTCATTCTCCAACTTTTATGCTCACAGTGCAGTTTTAATGCTTCATTAACAGGCGTGCATGCAGAGAAGAGCGGCACATTGCATTTTTGTTACTAGAGGCTGTGCAGTCAGGGGGCTTACAAACACTTTAAAGCAGCTCCAGACAAAGCAACAAAAGACACAAACACCATCACTTCTATTTCAAAATGCTCCCAGACAGGTGAAGAAGATAGCGTGTGCATGCACGCAAGCGCACACATTCATTTTTTCAGGCTGGAGGTGGGGGGAAAGCACAGCAACCCTTTGATGTTTCATAACCGCTCAAAGCTAGAGGGAGTGGGTGGGAGGAAAAGCAGAAGAGAAGGCCTTACGGGAAGACAGTCTGACTTGCAGAGATTTCTGTCACACTGCTCCAAAGGTCACAGCTGATACAAAAACGCACACATTTCCCTTTTGAGCAGCGTATACATGGAACGGTGAAGAAAGATGCATCAAGTGTGTGCATCTTCTCCATGGAGGTTTAGGCAAAAGTAAAAATTGTGATGATGCTGTCCAAGCTCCTGGATAGCACAAGCTGGGGTACTTTACCGAGCAATTTCTGCAGCAATCCTAAACCTGCCTGAGCAACAGCAGATGTTTTAGAGACCCAGTCTTAATAGAGAGACTCCAAGAGACGGAGAATCCACCACATCCCTTAGCAAGGTGCTCCAATAGTTAGATAACTTCACTATTAAAGTGTGTAGCTGATTTCTAGCCTGACCTTTTTACTGTACAAGCTTTATCACTTTTCCTTGTATCCCCCTGCATATCTGGCACCCATTGTGAGGTAGGCAGAAGTGTCCCCAGTATATGACTCTGGCCCTTGAGGTATGACACAAAAGCTTAAGGTAGTGAACCTGAACCTCCTTCTGACTAGCCACTGAATAAGAAAGTTTTACCTAATGGTCACAGCTCAGAGCAGGAAGGCAGGGGTTCTGAAGGCTCTCACCTTCATTTTGCCATGTTGATACAAAGCCACGGCTCATCCAGGGGGCGTGGGGTGAGGGGGCAGTTCCTGCCACTGCACACACCTCGGGAGGGCACGGGGGGGGGGTGTACCCCCAGATGTGTGGAGCGCAGGCGGGGTGGGATGGGGCCAGGGCTGCACCAGGCTCTTCATGATATGTGGGGGGAGGGAGGGGTTTGGGCTGAGGATACAATTGGGGCAGGCGGCAGTGGTGCTGGAAGATGTGGGGGGGCTATGGTGAGTTCTGGGGTGGCTGCAGCCCCCCCATAGCCCTACTCCCAGTGCTGCTACCACCACTCGTCCCAAACACAGCACAGCCCAGTCCCCACTCGGAAGAGCCTGGTGCAGCCCCAGCCCACAGCTGCAGCCCGCCCCGCCTTCACCCCGCGCAGATCCAGGGGCACATGCTCCCCCCACCCATGCCCTCTAGGATGCTTGCAGCAGTAGGAAGCGCCCCCCGCACTCCCCAGAAGAGCTGCGGCTCCATCCCACACTCCGCCCTGTCCCAGCTAGGCGGTGGCTGCTCCAGCACCAGCCCCACTCCCTCCCTCACCATGGGGAGTGTTGCTCTGTCCCCCCACATCCCTCCCCCCTCTCCTTCCACCATAACAGACTTACCAGCTACACACAGCTGTATCAGCCGATATGCCTCCTTAAAAATCGTCTATCAGTTTTGGACCCCAGAATCTCTATCAATGAACCCCTACTTGGTGCAGTTTCCATTCTTTGCTTTCCTATTCTTGGAGAGCAACACCAGCTTTGGACTCTCAAGTAGGCAACTAAGGAGAGTTCCCCTTTCGATGGGCAGAGTCCCTTGAACCACTTGCACCCTGGAAATGATCCCGTACTTGGACATTTTATACTACAGTCATCCAAAATGAGACTCACATTTGCCACTACAGGTTGACATGACAAGTTTTATCCGGTTTAGGTTAAAATGATCCTGCTTCCTTGTAATGACTTGTAAAGCTGAAAAGCATAAGGTTTCTGCACTTCTGTCAAGCTAACTCTGCAGAGGATGAGCTATTAAAAGATCAGACATCATCTATTAGGTGTCACTGTAATGAGCCTAAGAGCCCTATCAGAGGATCAGAGCCCCATTATGCTAAACAATGCAGAGAAAGACGATTGTCTTTGCCCCAAAGAGCTTATGCTCCAGCTGAACTACTGTTGCTGGAATCACAAACACAAGCTGCAAGCACACTCCTGGGATCTCTTCCCTATTCCTGAAGGAACCTCAGGGGTAACCAAATGGATGTGCTGGATCATATAAGCCACACAATAGTAACTAGGTGCCAGATGGATGCAAGCACGTGCAGGCTGCTTTGTCCATCTTTGAGCAAGGTATAGACTTGTAGAAGCCGTGCGAAAAAAAGGAAGCTGCCTCTGCTACTCCACCCCTCCCTATCTTTCTTTCAAAAAACCACTTCATTCCCCCATGCCTAGCTGCAGCGCTTTCCTGCTGCTGGGGCTTTTCCCCAAGCAGAAGCAGAGTGAACTGCACCTAGTGCTTGTCCACATCACTGCTTCTGCCCCCATGGCATTATGAACATCAATGAAATCTGGCTGGGCTTTCCAATGGCTCAGAGGCTGTGGTGCTGTCTGTCGACTCCAGGAGACAGTACTGAAGTTTTATGAGTGGCACAGGTTTAAATATTCATCTTTGCTAAATCTTTGACAAAAACACCAAGCTGAGCATCTACAGAAACTGATGGCATGAGTGAACAACCGCTGCTCGCAACAGGCAAGTAGATTTTTCCACTCCTGAAAAGTCTGGGTCTAGTGCGTGGTGAGTGTGAACTAACCGACAGAAATATCCTGCCTTCCTACAGCCAATGCTATCAGCATAGGGAGCATAGAAACAGGGGTAGCAAAAGGGATGCGAGGGCAGACGGCTCAGCTGACAGGGCTCCCAGAGTGCAAATACACCTGGCACCACAGCAGGTGCAACAGCAGGGGAAGTTGCCCTTCAAAGAAGAAGCTGGGCAGATTTGGCTTCTGGCTCCCAACTCAAGACAGGCACAACCTGTATCCCCTCCATTAGGCAGCAAGCCTCTTCTCTGACTCCTCTCATTGCCCCAACAGCCATCCTCTCTGAACTTGCTGCTAGATCCTGTGCAAGAGCACCCTGGCCCTGGTACTGAGGCCATCTGAGCGCCTATTGTCAGCAGGGCAGGAGTGGCAGGATGACTTGGGGCAGAGAAAGATGACCAAATAGACCCAAGTTTTTCCAGAATTTTAGCTGCTCCCCTCTTGGCAGAGAAGCCTCCCCTTTCACACCCCCTCCCACGAAGTGAGAAGTTTCTCATGGATGAAAAACATTGCCGGAGTGAACATGCCAGAGTGGCAAGAGTTAACAGCACCCAGGACACGTTGCTGGGAAAATATGGGGGACGGTGGGAGAGAGGGGGGTGGAACTGGGACATAGCATGTAGAAGACAGCTCTCTACGATGAAAAGTACTCACGGGACCCCAAAAATATCCAGCGACCAAAGTTCAACTGCAGTCCAGAGCAACATTGCATGGACTCACCTTTCCCTGGATTCTCAAGAGAAATCCAAGCCTAGCTCCTGCTTAACGCACGCTCCATAAGCATGCAATGCTCTTGTCTATGGTGTTGATCAGGTCTCTGTTCCTGTGACAGCCAAGCTCCTCATGTGTTTTATTGTATTTATATCTTCAGAAACCTCTGGGAAGAAAGGTAATGCTGTCTGCCCCACTATACAAGTACTCTCTAAACCTCTCCTTGCAAGGTGCCACTGGCAGTCTTGGAAGGGCTTGAATCTAAATGTCCCATACAAAGCAGCAGGGCCTTAGCTGTATATCCACCCTTCCTTTCATCTAGGATAGCAATTCTCAGCCAAGGTACCATGGGGTGTCAGGCAATGCTAGCACGGTTAGGTGTCCAAACAAGATTCATAAGACCAACCCAGAGATTTCAAATTGGTTTCAACACTATGGATTCCTTTCTGCCCTGCTGCAGCCTCTCTGAGCATTTTGCCACAGAAGAATCGTTCTTATTTTTCTGTAGTCAAAAAACAAGTGAAAATTAAGAGCTGGCATTGTCCATTGCTTACACAAAAAAGAGGGGAAAAAAAAAATCAGCATCTTTTTCAAACTCTTCGCCCTTTGCCAGCTAGTCTACTCAGGATCTCCTGGGACCAAAGCTCTGTTAACTTTTATGGGGTGCCCCATTCACACTGGGAAATGAAGGGAAACTGGGCCCCAAAAGGCTCACCATGAAGTCTCACCTGACCTGGCAAGGAACTCCTTCAGGAAGAGATGGATACCGGTATTCTGACCACATGCGTGGAGGCAGGAGCTGGGATCTCCTCCTTCCCTGGCCCTGGAGCCATGCCTAACTGCCCATCACGTCGCAAGACAGGACGAGCGGCTGCATGAAACTCTGGGAATGTTTCAGATTCAATCCTGCTCCCACTGAAGGCAGCTAAAGTTCTGCCGCAGTACAACAGGCCAGGACTGGGTGCTTTGTCAGCTACACTGGCCAGGATGGGAAGGATACAACTCCAGCCTACCCCCATCCCCCAGTTTTGCACTACTTAGTGGCACCAAGTCTTTAAAGAGCTTGATCTTGCTGCCAGAAAAAGCAAAGACCTAACTCCCTTGGGCCTGGGTCCCAGAGAAATCTAAGTTAGCAAGATGTTACAGGGATAAAGATGCAACGAACAGTGGAGACAAGCCACATGGAATAAATAGTCCCACTGCCACAGTGGGCTGGGCCAAATACACAGTTGGCATTTAGTGACCAGCAGCATTGATGAGTTGGGGTAGACCTGTGTGCCTCCCCTTAATGCACCCCCACACGCAGCTGCCTGTTGGAGTCCCTCTGCTTCCATACCTCTACACAGGAACTGCTCTTTCTTACCACACCCCAGGGAAGGTGGGGGGATCTTCCTAAAGAGGACCCAAAACTAAATCCAGCATCCCTGTGCTGAAGGAATAAGTATTACTGGGAACAACACTGAGTGACACACACCTCACCCACCCTGCTTCAAAGGGACTGTACTGTACACACATTCCAGATTAATATATTCATTTATGTACTGCATCAAGAACAGACAGCTGACCTGGGAGACAGGTGCAGGAGTTATGCTGCCCCAATAAAGATGCAAGTCAGCCCTTGCCTAGCAGAAAGAGCAGGGAATAAATCCCTCCCAGCTTGTTTATGCAAAAGAAAGTCAGAACAATATTCTAGCACAAGCAAAACTAAGAGATTGCACCTGTTCTGGCTCTGAACGTTGCTGCCTAATGAGGCTGAATTTTATTTACAGAGATCTGCAGCTGTGGAGTGGACAGCCATCAGGGTGGTAAAGAAAAGTAGAGGATTTGCTCAGGCTGACAATAGAGAGCTCTTGGGATGAAGGTGGGCCTGAGTCTACCTCTGCAGTCAGTATAGCACTTCCAATACGGAGCTGCCAGGTATAGCGTAAGGAGGGAAGGAAATCCTGATTGAGGCAAGGTGGAGGACTGCACACTTTGGCCAATTTCCTCTGTAAGCAGCATCTCAGTATTGCATGTGTGACCAGCATTGTAAGCAAGGCATCATATGGATAGGCAAGCCCTCTGCAGAGGATCACTGCACCTGTGCCTCAGTCCTACCAGAACCTGCTCAGCCCACGATACGTTAACGCACTGCTCCCATGAGCCAGACTTTAACAAGCGAGTCAGGCTATGAATCAGGTTCTTCTGGCCCATCATCCAGATCTCCATGCAGGTGGCTCAGCAACCATTACACAATGTTAGCAACCACTCACCCTCCTCACTATCTGTGCCATCTGCAGCCCAGACAGAGGGCAGCTGCCCAGATCTGCCAACACAGTACATACATGGTCACAGTAGCATAATGCAGGGGGGCATCCAGGGCACCAGTTCCAGTCACTAACTCAGCAGCCACAGATGCTGCCCCTCTGCCCCACACACAGCGACTGCCCAGGGTGCACAAATGCCTAGTTAGGCCCCTACACTTCCATGGCTCAATGGTCATGAATAGGTTGACACACTCGTACCAAGGGAAAACCCATACCAGTGAGCTAAGTCCATGGAAAGTAGGTGCATACTGCATATGTGCCAGTTACTCCACTCCACCTGCAACAAGTGGAGCCATCCCAGGATCAGCCCTGCTGTGAAAGGAAGGGCTGGTTCTACAGAGCTGAACCCCACTTCTACCAGCGTGGCCACTGCTTACTAGGCTCTCCCCTTATTCTTCTAGCCAGCGTCAGACAAGGATGTGTTGGTCAGAGATCCACCTAGGGCAGAACGCCTATTCAGAACAGCCTCACTGGCATTCTGTTTCATAAGCTCTCTGAGGAAGATCCCCCTCCTGCAATTCCAGCTCAGTGAATTTTTAGAACTCATTAAGTTTCACAGCAGTGATTGCAAAGCAGCAATGATGGAGGTTAGGTTAATTAACAAAACAAAGGAGTTTGTGGCAATTGGAAGATTGATCCAATCCTCTATGTGCTCAGTTTGAACAGAGAGGTCCCATGCTTGGGCAACTACAACCATTGACTGAATCCTTGCCCTTCCCACCCTACCCAAAAGTTGAGCCTTTCTTTTTTCCTCTTGAATCCTCTGTGGCATCCACAGACATCCTGCAGGCTCATCGTGGCTTCACCCCTGCACTCCACATCCAGGTCACTGACAACCCTTACTGCCACTTCTCTGCTTTACTGTTTGAGCTGAAGTAATAACTCCCTCTTCTCAGTAGCAGCTGGAAGGCCTTATCCATCAAGCCTGATATTACTTTTCCATCCCAAGGGTCCAAATGCAATGTCATGCTCAGACCCTGCTAGCCTCCCATCTTGACTGCACCAACACACTCCTTCTTCAAATGCTTAGGTGGATACTGCCATCCTAACACACCCAAAATACTGCTGCCAAAGCCATTTGTTGATCCAGTGATGTGCCACTTCTCCCTTGATAGTCCCTATGCTTTGGTATGCTATCCAAGCACTTCCGAATTCAGAAGAACCTCCAACAGTCCTTCAAAGGATCATCTCCAATCTAG